GGGATTCCGAAGTTTTATGTACATGGATGACGACCTGTAGGGTTATTTTGTGGACTCCAGTTGTATTATATTTTGGGATCCTGTATGACTTTTGAAATAGTATGTAAATACTTTTATAATCGCAGGATAAATATGTTAAGTTATGATTTTATAATCTTTAGTTTTGGGTATACTTTCAGAGATGCCTTCATTTAAAAAAAAAAGATGATGTGGGTGAATTTGGATGTCTAGGTCAAGTCATTGACGGTATTTCCACACTAAGTCAGTATACTGTAGGAATGGGGTGTGACATTTGAGCGAGACAGAAGGGATGAAGAAGATCCAGATCAGCTCCTTACTATTCAATTCGGTACGTTGCCTCCTATCATGGCTAATAACTATTTACCAACCAATCAGTTTAAGAACAAAGAGAAAGCAGAGATAAGAAAGAGATGAGTATCACACGATACTTTGTTGAAGCAACTACATCGAGAAGGTGTTCGTGAAGTGGATTTGTTGGGAGAACCATCTGGGCGTTCTTTCAATTATTATGTATTGTACGGGACACCCAAGAGGAAAAGGAGAGTACCCACTTTGAAAAGCATGGATCACCTCCAAAAATATTGCCCCCTCCCACAGGTTGGGTAACTGGAGAAGAAATTTTGGAGAATAGTAAATAGAGGATTCAAGAAGAAAAAAGTTTAGTGTGACATTTTGCATGTTGAGTTATCACGAGGAAAGGATTTAGCGAAGGACAAACAAAAAGTGGAAATAGATGCTGCTGAGAATGTTATATTTAAGAGACCAGCCATGAAGTTGACTAAGCATTTGAGGCCATTGTATGTGAAGGCCTTAGTTAATGGTATACCTGTGGCAAAAGTACTCATTGATAACGGAGAAGCTATAAACACCATTCCGTCTAGAATGATGAGGAAGTTTGCAAAGATAGAAAGTGATATGATTCCAACAGAAGTCATCCTCACAAGTTTCGATGGAGGAACAATTTCGACTAAAGGAGTTATGCCACTAGACATAACTATAGGGACAACTACTAGGACCACAGTCTTCTTCGTAATAGATGGTCCTACTAGTTACAATGTGTTACTAGGAAGAGACTGGATTCATGAAAGTCAATGCATACCTTTATCGCTCCATCAGTGCCTGATTTTCTGGATTGACAAGGGTGGAGTAGAAGTGGTGCAGACAGATCATAGATCTTTTGTTGCAGAAGCAAACTCAGTGGAAACTTTCATGTACGAAGGAAATTATGGACCTATCAGGGTAGTCCAAGATGGAGAAGAAACTCAAATTGTTGCACAGAGCGAATAACCTTTTTCAGTAGATACACTCACTGAAATGTTCAGTCAAATGAGGCCAAACATAGTGGCCCTGGAATAGCTAGTATTAGCAAAAAGGTGATCAATGAGTTTTAAATGAGTTGTAAACTACAAGGGCAAATGGCCAATGTTCAAACCTTCAAAGCCAAGTTAATAGCTTTCAATAAAAAATGTAAAGATAAGACGAAAGAAGAAACAGCCTTGAAAGCATTGGGAGATAAATTAGCAGTGTTCGAGTTGGAACAAAGTATTGGCCAAGAAGTCAAGAAGGTGGATTGTTTAGAAGTAGAAATGCCTATAAGGGACATGGACGATGAAGTAATAAGGATCACCAAGCCTGGATATGTTCAAGCACAAGACCCTCTGATTAAAGTGAATATTGGCAATGAAGGGGAAGATCGCCCAACATTCGTTAGCCAGATGCTCGATCAAGAGGTTAGTGATAAATTAATCGCTTTATTAAAGGAATATAATGATCGTTTTGCTTGGGAATATGAACATATGCCTGATTTAGATAGAAATATGGTGGAATATAGATTTCCAACCAAACCAAATTTTAAACCTCATAAGCAACCTCCTAGGCGTTTTGCTCCTAAAGTACTTCCTAAAATTAAGAAAGAAATAGAGTGATTATTAAAAGCAAGTTTTATTAGAACAGAAAGATATGTCGAGTGGTTGTCCAATATCGTGCGGTACTAAAAAAGAATGGTAAATTAAAGGTGTGCATAGACTTTAGAAACCTAAACATAGCCACGCCCAAAGATGAGTATCCAATGCCTACGGTAGATTCTTTAGTAGACTCGACTGTCGGATAAATAATATATCCTTTCATGGATGGGTATTCAGGATACAATCAAATTTACATAACTGAGGAAGACATACACAAAACTGCTTTCAGATGCCCTGGATCTCTAGGACGTTTTGAATGGGTAGTTATATCTTTCGGCCTGAAAAATGCAGGAGCGACTTATCAAAGGGCAATGAACTTGACTTTTCATGATATGATAGACAAGTTTGTTGAGGTGTATGTAGATGATATAGTGGTCAAATCCATTAAAGAAGATGACCATTTTGAACAATTGAGATGTTCATTTGAGCGAATGAGGCAATATAAACTAAAATTGAATCCCTTGAAATGTACATTTGGTCTTAATATTGGAAACTTCCTTAGTTTCCTAGTACACAAAAGGAGGATTGAACTCGATAAAAATAAAGTGAATGCCATTTTAGAGGCTAAACCACCTAACAACAAAAAAGAATTGCGAAGGTTTCGAGGTCAAGTAAACTTTTTAAGACGCTTTATTTCTAATTGTGCAGGGCGAACTAAAGTTTTTTCGTCGCTTTTAAATCTGAAAAATCAGGACGAATTCGTATGGAAAGAAGAGCATCAAAAGGCTTTTGAAAGCCTAAAGACATATTTATCAAGTCCACCAGTATTGGTGTCACCAATTCAATGACGGCCAACGAAAGTGTATATATCGACTGAACAAAAATCAATAGCTGAAATAGTAGCACAAGAAGACCAATTTAATGCAGAAATGGCGATTTACTATTTGAGTAGACGGTTGACAAAATGTGAATGTAATTACTCTGCTATTGAAAAATTATGTCTTGCATTGTATTTCACATGTACAAAACTAAGGGCTTATTTACCTGTAACCAATTATTTGATTTCAAGAGTAAATTTGATTAAATATATGTTATCTCACCCTATTTTACACCAAAGGGTGGGCCTTTGGACTTTAACATTGTCAGAATTCGAAATACAATACATACCCTAAAAGGCAGTCAAAAATCAGGCTTTGGCCAATTTTCTAGCCGATCATCCATGCCTGAAGAGATTGAATTAGAAATCGATTCATTCGAATTAAAACTTTGGGTTTTATATTTCGATAGGTCAAAAACCTCTAAAGGTGCAGGGATAGGAGTAGTATTGATAAATCTTTTAGGGATTTGTTACAAATTCGCATTTACTTTGGATAGGATGTTTTACCAACAATCGAGTCGAATATGAAGCCTTAATTGTGGGTTTAGAATTAATTATAGATATGGAGATAAAGAATGTGATCGTTAGGGGCGATTCTCAATTGGTAATTCACAAATTGATTGGTGATTTTAAATGACAAATTGATTCCATTATAAATCAATACGAAATTGCCCAAGAATTGTTGGAAGAATTTGACCAAGAAGAGCTGCAATGTGTCAATGGGATATATCATGATATAGCAAATGAGTTGGCTCAAATGGCCTCAAGGTATTCAAAGGTTTTAAATTGGGAATTTACTTGTGAATATGGAGTAATATTACCCGTAGTCCAAAGAATGGCGAGAAGGATCGAAATTCATTGCATACAAGATGAAGATGCAATAGATCGAAGAATAGAGATTAAAAGGTTTCTAAAAGAATCGAATGAAGAAGGTAGTAGAAAAATGAAGTTGCGTTTGCTAAACTATACATTGATAGATGAAGAGTTATTTAAGAAACACTCTGATGGTATATTACTAAAATGTGTAAGTTTGCAAGAAGCCGAATGATCATGGCTAAGGTGCATGAAGGGATATGTAGAGCTCATCAAGTCGGCCAAAGGATGAGATGGTTGATTATTAAGAATGGATATTTCTAGCCCAAGATGGGATAATCATGTGTTCAATGCGCGAAAAGTTGTTTAGCATGCCAAAAGCATGGCCAGATACAAAGAGCACCAGCAAGATAGATGACACACATTATCAAACTCTGGCTGCTCAAGAGTTAGGCGATAGACTTGATAAGGAAGATTTATCCCCCATCGTCCAAACAACATACATTTTTGTAGTTGCAACAGATTTTTTTCACTAAGTGGGTAGAAGCGATACCTGTAAAGGAGATCACCCAAAAGAGTGTTATAGAATTTATCCGTGATCATATTATTTATAGATTTGAGATTCCACAAACTTTGATGGTGGATCACGGAACTTCCTTGAATGGAGATCAAGTGAAGGAGTTCTTAAACGAGTTTGGAGTTAAGTTAATAAACTCCACCCCATATTACGCTCAATCCAACGGACATGCAGGATCTTCTAATAAGATTCTAAAAAATATCATAAAGAAAATGATAGATGAAAATGTCAGAAATCGGCACTAATGTCTAAACAAAGCCTTATGAGCTTATAGGACGTCGCCTCGGTTAAGTATCAAAGCTACTCCTTTCCAACTTACTTATGGACAGGAGGTCGTTTTGCCTATGGAAATCAACGTGTAATCAATTAGAGAGTGTTTGCAACATAAGTTAAATGATGGTGAGTATGCTGAGTCACTAGTTCAAAACTTATTGGAGTTGGACGAATTAAAATTGGACGTCGTAAATAGATTGCAAATTCAAAAACAAAGAATGGCTAAATTTTACAATAAAGAAGTTATAGCCAAGTCTTTTAGTTTAGGCGAATTGGTTTGAAAAATAATACTCCCTTTAGATAGCAAAGATCCAAAGTACGGCAAGTGGTCGCCCAATTGGGAAGGACCGTATAAAGTAAACAGTGTGTTACCTAATGGAGCATATTATTTAGAAGATTTAGATGGCACCAAGCACATAAGATTCATTAATGGCAAATACTTAAAAAAGTATGTTCATTCCTTATGGGAAAGTGAACAAATAAAAGCATTATCAATATAATTGCGTTGAGCGATTGTAAATAAATAAGACAAGAACGAAGTACGTTCAAATAAATTCCTTTATT